GTACCTTGGTTGCAGTTTTTCCCCTGCCCTGGTTGGGGTCATGTGGGTGGCAACCACTCGATGTGTCTCTCTCATGTCGATGTTTCTCTCTCTCTCTTCCTCCCTCTCTCCCTCCTGCTCTATCTGAAGATAAATGCAAAAATGTCCTCAGGTGAGGATAAAAAAAAAAAAGTATAGACAGCCTCTATCATTCTTGTCTACAGATGTGGTAGCATACCATGAAAACCTATATTTTGCTTTTATAAGAAAAAAGTATCTTTGATATCATCCTATATATATATTCCTATAAATATGCTTTCCTTATTAAAAATCGTCACCCAAGGATATGCTTTTATTGATTTTTTTAAAGAGAGAGAGGAAGGGAGAGAGAGAAAGAAACATCTATGTGAGAGAGAAACATTGGTGGGATGCCTCCCACATGCTCCCCGGTACCTAGGTATGTGACCTGACCGGGAATTGAACCCACAACTTTTTGGTGTATGGGACGATGCTCCAGCCAATTGAGCCACCTGGCCAGGGTAATCTGCATTACTTTTTAAGAGCTGCATAATATTGCACTACATGGACATACCATTATTTAATCAGTCTCTTACTGATATTTAGGCCATTTATAACATTTTGCTGATACAAACAAAGCTGCAATGCATATACCCTTGTACACATGTCCAAGTACATCTTTAGAATAAATCCCTAGAATTCAAATGGCTGGAACAAAGGTACATGTGTGTGTGTGTTTTTTTTTGTTTTTTTTTTTGTTAATCCTGACTCGAGGATATTTTCCATTGATTTTTTTAGATAGAGCAGAAGGAAGGGAGAGAGACAGAAACATTGATGTGAGAGACACATCGATTGGTTGCCTCCTACACAACCCTGCCTGGGGCTGGATATTGAACCTGCAACCCAGGCACATGCCCCTTCAGACCGTGGGCTGATGCTCTAACCGCTGAGCCAAATTGGAAAGTGTGCATTTTTGAATATTTTGACAGTGCCCAATTTCAGAGCTTTTTTTTTTTTTTGGTTATCATATGATCTTTACATTTGATCTTAGCAAAAAATCCAATATCAAATGATCTTTAATTGAAATATTTTCTTTTGTAGTTCTTAACTAGCTGGGCAGTCAATTGCACTGTTTTGTTGATCTGTTCATATCATCTATGATGTTATGAGGATGGCGGCCATCAGTATTGCAGCCCACAGACTGGCCAGTCCAGGGCAATTATTAACACGATGTCTACATACCGGTTAGGTGTCCATGATTGAGTTTAGAAGGGTGCACATAAAACCCTTGAAACTGTATGAAAAATGTTAAATGTATGTTTGTTTTTCTCAAGACAGTATTCATGGCTTTAATCAGATTCTCAAAGGGGTCTATGACTCTAACAAGCATAAGAACCACTGAGTCAACAAGTCCTTGTATGGGTATGAAAAAGCAACAGTAGCAGAAGTTGAAGCTAAGCAGGACCCAGAAGAGGCCTTCCTGAGTCCCCTGGAGGAGTTAAAGGAAGGATGCTTGGGGCTGATTATACCACTGGACTTGTACCTATAATGGACTTCCTCCAGGGGAAATGGCTCAATTACACATAAGTCAGGGACCTTGCTCCCACTCACCACAGGGCCCCTCTACATTAGTTCTGATAATAACTTACTGTTATCTCTTGGGAGGGGGGAGGTGAATGCCCTAAATCAGAGTTTCAAATCCATAGTGATTCTTTAGCCATTTGGGACCCTCTGCTCTGTTACAAGTCAGGCTGCTCATGCTGCATTATATTTAGGTCTTAAAGGGTTAATGGTGTTAAGGCAGAATGTTCAAGGTCTTTTCCGGAGTACTTTACAATCTGGCCTTTAGCTGCAAGATTCACTATAGTTTTCATGTCTAGCAGTCTGGACCAAGAAGTAATATGGTAATTTCCTGACATCAAACATCTTGAATCCTTAAAAAGAATTCTTCAGAGGTGGTAGTTCAGGTTCCCATAGCAAAAGCTCTCAGTCCAGTTCAAACACAACTGAAGACCAAGTTACTCCCGTAAAACCAACAACAGGCCTTATACAGAAACCTTAAATTCCTTGGGAAATTAACCTTTATTTTTATTTGTTTGGTTTACCTGTCCTGTGAACTGATTGCCACAATAAGTTCTGCCTAATACCCATCATTTCATAGATATAATAAAAAGAAAAGGAAAAGAGAAAAAATATTTTTCTCCTCATGAAGAGAACTCAGGATTTACTCTCTTAATATCTGTCTTATACATCATACAGCAGTGTTAACAATCTTCATCACATTGTACATTACACCCCTAGTGCTTATTTATATTAGGGAAACTAATCTTAATATAATAATCCATCTCAGTTTCAATTAAGTTTAAAAATAAACAAAAAACAACAACACCCACTTGTGTTGGAGACACATTGATCTAGAGGTGTTAAGTACTGTAAAACTATGGGGTTAAATTGATGTGATAGGTATAATAAAGAGCTTGAGAATGGGGACAATTTCGGCATTTACCACATTACTTAGAGTCTATAGCATAATGGCAGGCTTATGTTTTTGTTAATACTTTATATATCAAGTTTGTACATATTCGTGTAAGTGTTTCTAAAGTGCAGTTTGTCAAAACAAGGCCCAAGAAACATCTGAATTACAACTATCCAGGAAGCCTCTTAACTATGCAGATTTCTGGGTCCCACTCTGTCATACTAGATATGAATTTTTAGGAGTGGGGCAAAAATCTGCATATTGTACAAGCTTCTTGGGGGATGTACCTTGAAGTTTGGAAACTATGGCTTCAGAAGTCATCTTAGTGTAACCTGCTACCCTTCACAGCTCCATCAGAAAGGGGCTGTGGATACCTCTGCCTAGAACCTCTGGTGAGAGAGCTCTTGCCAACTCCAAGTTCATCCAGTCAATGGGTTTCAAAAGTCACTTCCTTAAATTTAACCAGAAGCCACCATCCAAAAAACTCCTTCCCAGCTCTGTCCAGCACCACAAAGAGTGAGTTGATTCCCTCATCCACATGCCAAGCTCCTCAAGCATTTAGGACCATTAACATGTGCCCCATACCCACCTCAGTCTACCCTCTCTAGTGAAAACAGCTCAGGTTCTTTTAGCCATATCTTAAGATATGGTTGACAAGAAGAAAGTTAAAGAGGAAGAGAAAAATATTCAGTCAAGATTTAGTTAATAAGCCAGAAAGCCACAAATCCAAACCTCAGATCACTATGAACCAAGCACTGATGGAATCACAGTAGGGCAGAGAGACTAAATCAGTTTACAGTGATCTGACTTGGAACAAGGACCACAACTTGGAGCCTTGGGATCCTCATCTTTAAAACCAGGCTAGTAATTCCACCTCAGGTTGAAATAAAGATTAAAACGAGTAACCTAGATTACCTGTTATTCAAAGACCCTCCAGGGGACTAGAACACCTATTAAACTGCATACATAAGTCGCCCTAATTACAGTGAAAGCAAACCCTGAAGGGCTAGATTTGAGCCAAATCACAGCCCAAAGCCCATGCAAAAAATTTTTTGAGTTTCTTGTTTTATATTATAAAGGTATCTAAACTTTGATTCTACTCTAGCTATGAATGTATAAAATATGTCCTTATCCTCAAATATTTGGGTAAAATTAACACTCAAAGAAAACTTGCCTCCCCCCCTTATTTATTTGAAGCTTTAGGTACTCCCTGGCATACCACTTACCATGCCCAGTGCCTGCCACTCACCTCCATCTCCCTTGGAGAGGAGCAGGTTTAGTCTACAAGCAGATGAGCAAGATGGGTAAAACCAATGAGTGACTAGACATAAGCAAAGAAATGGGCCATAAGACATGAATCTGGGGATGGTCAGGAGGCTCAGTTTTCAGATTGTGAGAGCTAGTGTAGTGCCACTAGACTGTGCTTTAAATTGCTTTCAGAGAAAAACTAGCCCTAACAAAGGCAAGAATATCTAGGAGGGAAATTCATAGAACACTTGATTCATTAGTTGTGTGTTTATGCATGTTTGTGTCTGTGTGTGTGTCCCCAAAGCAACAGAAATCTGACCTAAGATGAATATAGGGGATCTGGCCTTGGCCAGACAGGGCTCTGGGAAGTAAGCAGGTAAGCAGGTCTTGGATGGCGACCGTTACCCATTTTCTAAATCCTGTCCCCTTCCTTTCCTGCTTGCTCTTCCACCTCTCTGTCATCTGAGAAGTTCCTGGCTTGGCTATCAATAGAGTTATGTACTTGCAATGTAAGGAGGAGGTGGAAGGTTCGTAAATCGATGGACAATGGGATAGATCATTTTTAGGAGGGGATCCTATCCATTCTTCCCACAAAAGTTGGGCAGATAGCTGAAAGCAATAACCTCTTTGATCCTAATGTCTCCAGCTGGTCAAAGCCATGACAAAAGAGTGAAACTGGCCATTGGCAGATTCAAGTCATGGATCTCATGATAATTACAGATTTAATAATAACAATAATAATAACACATATAATAATAACACATATAATAATAATTACAGAGTCCCATGTGCCAGGCATAGTGCTGGGGGCATTAGATACACAATAAGGAGAGAAAGGGTAAGAAAGTAAGGGAAATTTTTTTTAAAAGGATCAAGGAAAGAATTAAAGTGAAACTTGGGTGTTAGACTGAGTCAGCTCCAGGCAATATGAACTCAATCCTTTGTTTTTAATGCCCAAACCCAGCACAGTGCTTGGCGCACGAACTCAACGAAGAACAGCTGCAGTCCCTGATTGGCGTCCTGAGCTGTATAAACTGCTCCGGAGGTCCTTCTGGATAAAGGCCGTGTTCGTCTGCCTCCCGTCCACCCGGAGCGAGTCCCGGCCCGCGGCCTCCCGCTCCACCCAGTGCCGCCCGGCCAACCGCCCGCCCGCCCCGCAGGCGGGCGACAGGAACCCCCTCGTGGGTGCGGCACAGGCCCAGCGGTCCCAGCGAGGAGCTCCTGGGCTGCCGCGCCCCCTTTCCTGAACGCAGGACCCCCCCACCCGGGGTCCCCTTACCGATCGTGCCGAGACGGGCTGCACTTGTCTTCAGCAGCTACGGAGGTCACACCCTCGTCGGGGCTGGGCAGCTGATCTTATCCTAGGCGGACCCGCCCCACTTCGGGGTGGAGACTGAGCCCCGAGTTCCTGGTTGTCCTGCCCACGAGACCGGAAAATCGTCCGGAGTGGAGCGCACCTGGAGCCGCCGGGACCGCCTTGCCCCCAGGCCGGGGGCTGCACCGGGCAGAGCGTGCTCCCGGGCAGCGGATCGCCCGATCGCCCCGCTAGCGGGACACGGCCCTGCCCCGCTCCTGCCCGCAGAGTCCGAGCCTCTGAGCCTCCGCGTCTCCGCGCCCGGGCGCCCCCACACCCTCCTAGGGTCCGGGGTGGAGCTGGGAGTCCCTCCACGAGTCCAAAGCTTGTTCCTGAAGAAACTGCACTTTCTTCCCTCACTGCGGGGCTCAGACCGAGCCAGTGGCTGGAAAAGTGGAACGAGTCATATCACAGTGGCACATTTCAGTTCCCTCTTGCACATGAAAACACACATTCCAAAAGTTCCCAGTAGTTCCACTTCCTTTTGAGGAAAATCGAGTTCCTTCTTTGGGGAAACCTTTGGAGACAGGAGTCAGCAGCAGCCCCAGATACCTGTTAAATTACCCGGCCTTGGTACTGGTTAGCAGCTCCCGGGTTCGGCCTTGGCGCAGCGTTCGCCCCTCCTGATATAGTTTCATGTGTTCGTTATCTGCCTCCTCGATTGGACACAAACCTCTCTTTTTTTGCTTTTTATTTTATTTATTTTATTTTAATTTTTTTATCCTCATCTGAGGACATTTTTGTATCTATCTTCAGACAGAGCAAGAGGGAGAGAGGGAGGAAGAGAGAGAGAGAAACATCGTGTGAGAGAGACACATCCAGTGGTCACCACCCACACAACCCCAACCGGGCTGGGGACAACTACAGCCTGGGGACAACTACAGCCTGGGGACAACTGCAACCGAAGTATTTGCCCTTAGCGGGAACCCAACCCGAGACTCTCCAGTCTGCGGCTGATGCTCTAACCGCTGAGCCAAACCGGCCAGGGCTTTTTATTTTATTTTTAATTTTTTTTCTTTATTGATTTTAGAGAGAGAAGAAGTGAGAGGGAGAGAGAGATGGAAACATTGATGAGAGATAACATGGATTGACTGCCTCCTGCATGCTCCCCACTGGGAATTTGGCCCACAACCTGGGCATGTGCCTTGAAAGGAATCGAACCAATGACTTCTTGGTGCATGGGTCAACGTTCAACCACTGAGCTATACTGGCCAGACTTTGTTTGCTTTTTAATTGCTTTATTAACTTTACATTTTTCCATGCAAATCAGTGAAACTACTGTTGACAGAAATTTAAGACTGTGTGCCAAGGCAATCTCCAATTAGAAGCTGGTAACAGAACACACTTGATACATGGAAATTAACATAAGGTTTACAGCAAAAGGATCAGTTAAAGCATATCAGGAAATGAAAAGCAAACAACAGTGGGAACCACAGTTAATCTCATGGAAAATAGCAAGAATCAAGACAAGGCAAAATTCATCATGAGAGTCACGGTAATTCAAGAGCTCCCCCATAAGAATACGAAGACAATTCCTCAGTTGCAGCTCCCTAAGTTTTCTCCTGATTTCTCTCATCTCGTCCATGAACATTTCATATAATCTCCATCTCCACCCGTTCCATCATTGACCTGCCTATTATGTATGGCCCATCAGAAGTTAGGGGCCAGTCTGCAAGCCTATACCCATCTATTATTTCCTGCTGGCTGGTGGCCTTCACCCCCTCCCAAAGGGCAGTTTTTCTCTCCATTCTGCATGGGCTGCTCCATTTCTTCATTTTCATGGTGGATATCTGCCATGATGAGATTATTTCCTGGTTGTTTTTCTACTCTGCTTTCCCGGGCCAATGCCAGCCAGCTGTGCATCAGGCAGTGGGGAGCTGGTACCCAGAGGGAGTGACAACTGCACTCCTGGACACAAGCCTCTTGAAGGCACTGAGTCTAGGTCATCCTTGCACGTGCGCCCAGTACCATTTCCCTGCAAGCGCTCAGTGAATGCTTGCAGAATGAATCTGCTGAATCTACAGGCAAATTTCAATTTTAACCATGGGTAGGTAGCTTTGGAATGTGTTTGCTATCCAACAGACCAAAATCCAAGTGGCTATTAACACTCTTAAAGCCGGACAGGTAACATTAAATTATTTCACTCAGATGTAGCTAAAGAAGGTAGTATAACATAGTTAAAAGCAAGAATCAGGCCGGCTGGTGTGGCTCAGTGGATTGAGTGTTGTCCCATGGACTATGGTCCTGGTTCCATCCCCAGTCAGGGCACATGCCCAATTGCAGGCTTGATCCCCAGCAGGTGGCATGCAGGAGACAGCTGACAGATGTTTCTCACATCGATGTTTCCATCTCTCTCCCTTCCTCTCTCTCTAAAAGGTCAATAAAAACATTAAAAACAAAAAGGATCAGACTGATGTGGATTCTATACCTGGTTTTGCCCCTTTTCTGTGTTTGAAAACTTAAAGTTTCTGAGCTTCTGTTTATGAACTAAGAAGAAGCAAAATTAACAAGACAAACAGTGGAAAAATAGTAAAAATAAGGATAATTCATTTCCTCAGAAAGACTGTTATATCCCTTTAAAAATAGTAATTAGGCGCCAGCTGGTGTGGCTCACTGGCTGAGTGTCAATCCATGTACCAAGAGGTGAAAGGTTCGATTCCTGGTCAGAGCACATGCCCAGGTTGTGGGCCAAATCCCCAGTAGCGGGCATGCAGGAGGCAGTCAATTGATGTCTCTCTCTCTCTCTCTAAAATCAATAAAGAAAAAACATTTTAAAAAAGAAAAAAAATATTAAAAAAGAAAAAAAAACACAATTAGGCTACCCTAAAAAAATAAAAAAGTGAGGAATGGAGCAAATGCTGTTAGCACCCTGCTGGAATCCTTTTCTAGACAGGTGTACCCAGCTCACAGCTTCACCTTTCTCCCCATAACTTCCCCCAGACCAGGTTGGGAAGCCACAGTCAGAAGCTAACTTTTATGGGATACAAAAGGCCAGGAATAAACCTCTGATACCCTTCATATTCCAGAGCTCCCACAGGCTTAGGCTGAGGCTAATTTCAGCAGAAACCACATCTTTGTTCTGCTTCTTCCTCTGCACTATCCTACTTATCTTACAGTTTGTCTTGAGAATATTCCTTCACTAAGCCACTTACACGGGAGAATCCCTATCTCAGACTCTGCTTCGAGGAACCTGACCTAAGACGTGTTTTAAAAATTAATGTAGTTGTTGAAATGAAACACTCAAAGGGTCCTTTAAATTCAAGATAGCAGAATGAACACGTACATTTGCCTCAGCTCCCTCTGGAAATCTATCTGAAAAAAGAGTAGTTTTGTTTTGTTTCATTTTTAAAATTTAGTTTTTTATCCTCACCCGAGGACATTTTTGCATTTATCTTGAGATAGAGTGGGAGGGAGCGAGGAAGGAAGAGAGAAACATTGATGCAAGAGAGACATATCATATCGAGTGGCTGCCACCCACATGACCCCAAGCGGGGTAGGGACAAACTGCAACTGAGGTACATACCCTTAGTGGGAACCGAACCTGGGACTCTCTGGTCTGTGGGCCGATGCTCTAACCGCTGAGCCAAACCGGCCAGGGCTTTTGTTTCGTTTTTAATCTCACAAGGACAAGGGAACAAGAGAGGAAAAATTCTAGAAACCTGGAAAGCAGATTGACAGGTGATAATGGACTCTGCAGACCTGAGAAAATTGAATTCTAAGCCAGGAGTAGGGAAAGCCAAGAAGCAACATGATATTACAGAATATCTCAGGATACGAAGGAATTTGCTGCATCAGGTACTTCTGAAAATGGGTGTATGGTTAAGGCTAAACACAGGTTTTTTGTAAGTCTGTGCAGGAAGCCTCCATCCCCTTCCCACACTGCCCAGCTACCACCGTCCCTCTCCCAGTTGGGTGGAAAATTGGAAACATTCTCTGGAGGGGATAAAACAAATCTCCCTCACGGACATTTCAGGTATAAAGTGTTTTTGGTTATCTAAGGCTGCCTAACAAATGATCCCAAAATTTGGTGACTTAAAACAATGACCAATTTATTATGTCTCATGATATGGGGGTGGGGGGTGGGGGGTCTGAATTTGGACAGGGCTTGGCTGGGCAATTCTTCTATTGCATATGGCATCAACAAAGGTCACTTGGTGGTATTCAGCTGGCAGATGGGCTAATCTGGAAGATTCACGCACGTGTCTAGCACCATGGCAAGGATAGTTGGAAAGCTGGTCCCAGCTGGCACTGTCGACCAGACCACCTACACACGCTCCCTCCACATGTCAGTCTCAGAGTAACTGGATTTACTAATGAAGGCTCAGGGCTTCAACAAAGGATACTCCAAGAGAACTAGGAAGAAGTTACTGGGCTTCTTATTATCTAGGCTGGAAGCCCCTGCATGTTATTTCTGTTGCATTTTATAGGTCATGCAAATCACTGCGGCCAGCGCAAATTCAAGGGAAGGGTAATTATATCCCTGAATGGTGGACAGGGACCAGCCCTGAGCAGGTCTGCCTCCAGCTGGTCTGTAGTGTGTGGGTTCTTGACTTCTTGTAGGAAATATTTCACAACATGAGTCCATGTGATTTTGCGAATGCATTTATTAAAGCTTTTGCGAATGCATTTATAAAGACAGTGAAATAAGGAAGAGCCTATGATAGAAGAAGCAACAGGAGAGAGCCTGGGAGGGCTGCTTTGGCTCTCTGGAAACATTATGGAAAAGAAGTGAACTAAGGTGGGGCTGCTGTCAGCTCATTGGAGAGTCAGAGAAAATGAGGCCTTGGGATAGGTTCAGGGGGTTAGCCTGGGATGAGCTGCCAGTGCCCATTGTCCCCCTGGTTGCAAGTCTCCTGGGGTCCCTTATGGTTTAGAAGATGCATGCCTGTGGGAGGGAGAGTGTGAGCTGGGTCCTAGGTCTTGAGGGTTTCGAAGGCTGGGAGTTTGGGGGAGATCTTAGGGAAGGACCTCAATAGAATAGTCATCAGCCT